CACTAAGGTGACGGTGGGAGTAGTTCTGAAACTCCCCTACCCAGTCCTTATCAGATGAGACTTCCCAGAATTTGATAGCCTTCTCTCCGGGGAGAACGTAGAAGAAAATAATGACTCCGGGACCCAGGGGGTGGTCCTGCTAGTTAACCCCCCCCCCCACCCCGGCCTTCCATGAATTTGACCAGGATTTGTTCTCCCTGCCGGGGAAGACTCGGAGGGAACGGAGGGAAGATAAAAGGAGGGGGACGAAGATCCTGACCCAATACCAGAAGTCTATGCTTGTAGGGGAAAGAGGTGGCTCAACCAACAGTGGGACTGGGCTGGTGATCCTATCGCCGAACTGGGTTCCCCAGGGGCTTTCCCCAAATGGGAGACTGAGGTAGACCCCTCCTGAGTTTGGACAAATGGGGATCGCACTCGGGAATTTTGGTCAGGATCAGGCCAATTATCCAATATACAACAATATTCATAAAGAAGTAGTTGAGGTAAATGGGGTCCCCGTGGAGGGGAAAGTTAAGGGCCCAGGGCCATGTTATGTGATTAAGAACGATCTGCTATACAGAGTAGTCTGGGTCCAAGAGCAAGTCGTAGAACAACTCTTGGTCCCACAGAAGCATCAGAGGGCCGTGATGGATCTGGCCCATAGCCATTTGTTCAGGGGCCACCTAGGGGTCGATAAGACTCTTGATCGGATCCTGCAGAGGTTATTTGGCCTGGCATTTACGCAGCGGTCCGACGATATTGTACATCCTATCCGGAATGCCAGATACATGGGCCCCGACCACACTAAAGGGCCCCTTTGGTACCTCTATCAATTATTGAGACCCCATTTGAGCTAATAGCTATAGACCTAGTAGGGCCATTGGAGAAGTCAGCCAGGGGCCATCAGTACATTCTGGTAATACTAGATTATGCTACCCAATACCTTGAGGCCGTACCCCTGCGGAATGCCCTAACCAAGACCATAGCCAAAGAATTAGTCCAGATTTTTTCCAGAGATATCCAAGGAGATCCTGACGGACCAAGGGACCCCCTTTGTGTCTAAGCTGATGAATGACCTATGTACAATGCTCCACATACGGACCCTCAGGACATGGGTCTACCATCCCCAGACCGATGGTCTTGTCGAACACTTCAATAGGACATTGAAGAACATGTTGCGGAAAGTGGTTAGTCGCGATGGGAAAGACTGGGACGCTCTGCTGCCCTACTTGCTGTTTGCCGTAAGGGAAGTACCCCAGGCTTCTACGGGATTCTCTCCCTTCAAGCTGTTATATGGTCGCCACCCCAGGGGCATACTGGACCTGGCTAAAGAAGGCTGGGAAGAACAGCCGAACCCAGAGAGAAATGTCATTGAACATGTGTTACAGATGAAAGACAGGATAGCCCAAGTTGCCCCCCTTGTACGCAAACACATGGAGAAGGCACAAGAGACACAACAGACATACTACAATCGCCAAGCGGCAACCCGGAAGTTCCAGGTGGGAGACCAGGTAATGGTGCTCATACCCACGGTGGAGAGCAAGCTCCTGGCCAGGTGGCAGGGGTGATACGAAATAATAGAAGCCTTAGGAGAAGTCGACTATAAGGTCCGACAGCCAGGCCGCTGGAAGCTGGAGCAGATCTACCATATAAATCTGCTGAAACCTTGGCAGGATAGAGAAGTTCCGGTGGTTGCGCTGGGGGCGCCATCCCCTAAAAGCAACCAGCCCGACCAGGTGGGGATATCTCCGGGGTTGACTCCAGAACAACGATCGGAAGTGATCAGCCTGATCAAACGCAACCAGGATGTGTTCTTGGAAAAGCCAGGCAGGACTACGGAGGTTCATCACCACATCCTCACAGAGCCTGGAGTGAAAGTGAACATCAAGCCATACCGGATCCCGGAGGCCAAAAGAGAGGCAATCAGGACAGAGGTCCAGAAAATGCTGACCTTAGGAGTCACTGAAGAATCTCATAGCCAATGGTCAAGTCCCGTGGTATTAGTGCCTAAGCCTGATGGCAGTATGAGGTTCAGCAATGACTTCCGCAAGTTGAATGAAGTATCCCAATTTGATGCGTACCCTATACCCCGGATAGATGAGCTAATTGACAGACTGGGAAAAGCACGATTTATGTCTACCCTTGACCTGATCAAGGGCTATTGGCAGATCCCACTGGCCAAGGCCAACAAAGAAAAGACGGCCTTTGCAACTCCAGAAGGTCTGTATCAGTACACCGTCCTCCCCTTTGGGTTGCATGGTGCTCCCGCTACATTTCAACGGCTCATGGACAAGCTGTTGCGACCCCCTGGCAAGTACATGGCAGCCTATCTCGACGACGTCATTGTATATAGCCCCGACTGGGAGATGCACTTGGAGAAGGTGGAAGCGGTTCTGGACACCCTGAGGAAGGCGGGGCTGACGGTGAATCCCTCCAAATGTTCGATCGGGTTAGCTGAGGCCAAGTACCTCGGGAAAATAGAGGGGAGGAGCATGGTGAAGCCCCAACTCAACAAGTTAGAAGTTATACAGAAGTTGCCCCGATCCCTCCGGAAAAAACAGGTCAGAGCCTTCTTGGGACTAGTGGGGTGCTATAGATGGTTCATTCCCCACTTCACCACCAGGGCATGCCCATTAGCAGACCTAACAAAAGCTAGGGGTCCAGACATAATAAATTGGTCTGCCGTGGCTGAAGGTGCTATTGTGGATCTGAAGACGGCCCTCTGCACAGACCCCGTACTTGTAGCCCCAGACTGGGGGAAGGAGTTTATCCTGCAAACCGATGCCTCTGAAGTAGGGTTGGGGGCGGTACTTTCACAAACGGTCAGAGGCGACGAACACCCCGTCCTCTTCCTCAGTAGAAAGCTCCTGCCTAGGGAATGGAAGAACACTGTAGTGGAAAAGGAATGCCTGGCGGTACAATAGGCCGTAGAAAGCCTACTCTACTATCTACTAGGACGGAGGTTTACCTTGTCACGGACCATGTCCCTCTGCAGTGGACGCACCAAAACAAAAGACAAAAATGCGAGAGTAACGAGCTCGTTCCTGTCGCTTCAACCCTTCCACTTCACAGTACAACATAGGTCTGGAATCCAACATGGCAATGCAGATGGCCTATCAAGAGTGCACTGCTTTCTGACTCAAGTAGCCCAACCCCATAGTGTTGAGTGGGGCGGGGGTGGGAGGGGAGAGAATGTGGTAAACCCAAGAAAAACAGTGTGGTAAACCCAGGACAAACAGCTACAAAAAAGGGAGGGGTAGTAATTAGTCCGAGGGGATTAAATAGCCTCTCCCTGTCCACTGAGGAGATAACCATGGGGAAATAAGGTTCAGCTGGAAAAGGGGTTGCTAGGGAGCTAATTAGGTTCAGCTGGCTCCAACTGGTGGAGACCTTTTTAAACCGGTCCTGGCATGGGAGGAGAGAGTGAGAGAAGGAGAGAAGCTGCCAGTCGGCTAAGGGCAGCAAGACACCAAGGGAGGAAGGGAGGCTACACTCCTCCGCCCCAGAAGGGAAGGAAAACAAACACAAGGGACTGATCAGGGAAAGGAATAACCGGACCCTGTGCTACCTGCAAGGATTTGCCTTGCCCAAGCCGGTGTCTCCAAGGCTAAAAAGGACTGAGTCTCTTGAGGAGAACAAGGTACTTTGCCACACTCACATAAATGCATAACGCCATATTCAGCTGTACTGTACACTACCTCCCATCAGAAAACAAAAAAATAAAAAGTACATGTACACTTAAAAGGCAAGCAGGCATGCTTTGAAATGGAGATGACACAATTCTGCTCCAGACAAAACTCTTGAGACACCAAATAGATTTTAAAAGATACTTCCTTTAAAAAAAGAAAAAAAAAAGCGAGAGAATGAGTTGCTGGGGACATTTACCACTTTATATTTTTTCTAAACTACAATTGATTTCCCATCCAAATCCAAGTTAGTTAAGCAGATTGGCTGTAACTGTAACACCGCAGCTTTTGTGAAAGGCTTCTTAAGATTTGTTTCTGCGCAGATAGGAGTTCCCCCTACGTAAATGTTCTCTAACCATACCCACATGCTTCCTATACACACCCCCATAACTGCATTATACACTCACTCGCCACGCTGTATTCTGTACAGTTTGACACACTGACATGCGCTATACACACAAACAAAAATAAACCTACCCTCAGTACTCTACACATAGACATTGGACCAGATTTTGGCTCCTGCTCCCATTGGTTTGTGCTGCCAACCATAGCGATGCAAAGGACAAAAAACTTCCTCTTGGGAAGTGCCTCTGTATAAGGGTTATCCTAGGGTGCTGCAGAAGTAGCTGTTCCATAACCTCACTTCTAGCATCTGGTACCAGGGATGTGGCTGGAGAAAAGGGGAGCCTGGCTGGGCAGCTCTGTGCATGAGCTGGTCTACTAGAACAGCCCCTTGGGATTGGGGGCAGCTGGATGTAAATTTGATCAGCCTTAACTTACACACATGGGTCAGAGCTGCCTCCAGAAGACAGCCCCTGAACATGAGGGCCACAAAGGTGGTATATTGCCACTTTTGTACCTCCTCTCCTGCCATGAAGTGCACTGAGATCAGCTTGGATGCAGGTCAGATTAGGTTATTGTGTGTGCCCACATACACACATTACACCAGAGGTAGTCAGTTATCTTTTGTCAAGGTCCCAATGTCTTGGTCAAGGTATAGTCAATGTCTAGACTTAAGAGAAAATAATTTTAAAAAACCCAATGATGATGATAATAAGTAAATAAAAATATTCCAGAGTCCATTCAGAAGCATCTGGTGGTCTGTATTTGACCCTCAGTCCGCCTATTATTGACTACCCCGTATTACACCAATACATGACACTGTACCCTCCCCAAATATAAAGGCACATTAGGCACCCACTCTGCACTTCCATATTCAGATACACCACACACACACACACACACACACACACACACACACATTTTTTAGCTTGGAACTTGTGTGAAAGTAGTTGAGAATGGTAGTGTCTACGAGTGCTTTAGATATAGTACCTGTATGGTGGTATTCCTTGCCTTGGCTATGAAGTCCACGTTGATGCCTCCAATCACCACCTTAATGGGGGTGGGGTGGGGGGAGGAGAAAGTAGAGGAAAAAATTGGCCAGAAGAAGTGCTGAGTTTTGTTTGTTTTTCTCAAGCTCACTCTCCCACCAACCTATCAAAGTAGATGAAAATCATACTGTGAAGGCTTGATCTTATCTGGCTAGGCCAGACCAGACAGTCCTTCCACAGAGTGCCTTTGGAAAGAAAGGAAAATCTATTCTGAATTCTACCCTCTGAACTACTTCTCCTTACAGCTAGCCGCAGAAGAAGAATAAACTTCTTGAGGCATGCAGGGTATTAGACGCACACGTGTACACACAACACCAAAAGTACAAAGTTTCATTGGCATAGCTATGTTGGTTATGAGTGTGGAAAAAAATAATTTAAAAACCCCAAACAAACAGTGTAAATGCAACTTGGCTGACAGAACAGTGCTTCTGTCAGCCTAGCTAATGTTGTTTGAGGACGGGGTGTAGCTATGCCTGCAGAACTCTTTCTGCAAGTTTACACTGTGCCTACACTAGGGGGCTCTGCCAGCATAGCTATATTGGCCAAGGCTCTGTAGTGCAGACATGACTTTACTTTGCATTGACATCAACTAAGTTGACGTGTTGGGAAAGGTATATATGTGCTGGGAAGGGGAGAAATGTGAAAACAAGGTAGAACCTTAAAGGGATTTGTAGGAAACCCAAGCTGAATGTCCTAGGGATCCACTCTGATGACTAAGACCAATACCTCTGCTAATCACTGAGGACTTTGGCTCAGAGAAGCTTTTAGAAAGAGGGAATGAAAATAAAGAATGAAGAGGATTTAAAAAGCACCTGAGGGAAATTAGAGAGTGAAGAGAGAGAGACTTTCCAGCTGTTTACAGCAGAATGGATGGTCCTTGCCCCACAGTGGATAGAGTTACCATGTTTTGGACACTGGCTGTGAACTTATCTATAATGCTATTTTTAAATAGGCACTATACACGGAAGAGCAGAGGACTCACAGGCCTAAGTGCAGTTACTTTCTCACACTGAGGCAGGTTGCCCTTCCCTGTGGCAGTTTGGATCTTGCACAGGGCCACAGCTATGCGGCTGCCCACTCTGGCATTGTTCTGGATCAGAGCGATGTCTGAATGGATATTCTTTTTTAAAGAAATGAACAGCAAGAAACTGTCCTGGGAGAAGCCTGTGTTGGAAATTCCCTTCCCTAAGGGGGAGAGAACAGGAAGTGGAGACTGGGACAACGACACAGGGGGACCTCTTGGTCCTGATTCACCCCACTCTAGTTATTGTACATATGCCAGATTCCCCTAGTGCGTGGACACCTCACAGTCTTTAAAGGCATTTATCTTTACTATGCACCTCGGACGCAGGGAAACGCTATCAGATGGGGAGCCTAACAGTTAGGTGCCTAAATACCTTTGAGGATCTGGCCCTACGTGACTTGCCTAAGATCACACAGGAAGTCTGTAGTGGACTAGGGAATTGAATCCATGTCTCCCAAGTGCACTTCCTAACTGCTGGGCCATCCTTTTTCCTCACCTGTACCAAGTAGACTTACACACTGATGTGCTGGCACTTAACTCTCACTTTGCATCAGTGTAACTGACTGAACAAAGCAGTGGGGAATCAGGCTCCATATGCAGGGTGATTGACCACACTCCAGTACGCTCAAGCACAAATGCTACTCAAGTGACATATAATAACGATGCCCAGTCTTCTCTCTAAGACTGACAGAGCCTGGCAGCTTGGGTGTTTGGTGTACTGCCTGTCCTGAAAATTGCAGGGGAGCCTTGGCTTTAGAACTCTTCCTCTCTTTGCCAGTCACTAGTTCTTACAACAGAAGTTGAGGGAGACAGAGTGTTATTAACAAGCTTAATAACTATTTCTGTGCGTTCAACTGTTTTGAAATGCTAAAGTTTTTGCGCTTTCAAGTTTCCAGATTAGCAACAGTGACGGTATTTTGTGGTCAACCTGTACAATGACATTTTTTGGAGGGGATTGTGGAATATTTTTTTTTTTTTAGTAAAAGGATACTGGAGTCCAGCGATTTTCCACTAGTCAGTTCATTCATCTTTTGTAACATAAAGGGAGTCAGCTCTTTCCCTATGATCCCTTTTGACCTGCAAACAAAAAGAAAATACCTTGTGATAGGAAGAAGTGAGCTAGCAGGGCATCAGAGTGGACGCACTGGTTACTAACAGATAATCTAGCTATATAACTGCATGCTGTCTAAGGCCCAGTAAACAAGCCTCAGTACACAGTACATAGAACTATACTGAAAATCATATCAAGGAGTCACCCAGACCTGAGATTAAGGACATAGTCTGCACTATATCCTTGTTGCAGTGTAGTCTGGAGAAATGATCACAGCAAGAATAGTCTGGGGCCCCTGAGATCTGCAACATAATCTAAGTATAGATTTTAAATTACTACTCATTTTTCAAAGCGAAGTAGTTAGAATGATATTTCTTCCTTCTACTTAGCTGCTAAAAATTGTGTTCTGGGTTTCCCTCACCCCCAGAGAACAGTATTTTTCTGTACCTCCTTAGCTTGGGCTTAGGCGTTATTACTGATGTGCAGTGAAATTCACCTCTCTCTGCAGAAGAGGGTTCAAGTATTCCATAGATCTTGTTTTGGCCATCTGCACAAGGGTGAATTTCACACACAATTAATAGATGCAGGGGAAAGTGAAAGGGAGAGCTAATTTTTAAATCATTTTTGTTTTGAAATACAAATGTATTTACAGTTTCTGTGTCTGCTCATAAATTCTGATTTAGCAGAGGAGATGGAGATATTTAATTTTTTTTAAGGCAATGCTGTTCTCTTTTAAAATGCCCATCCCTGGTCTGTGCCAAGGCGTTGATTACAAAAAAATTAAAATTAATTAAAAAAAATTAAATATCCCCATCTCCTCTCCTAAATCAGTGCTGGAGCCTCTTATGTGGTCACTATCACAGAGTGAATTAAGGACAAAGTTTGGAGTGTTTCTCACCGGGCGTTGCTCAGAGCTTCTTGGATGGCATTTTCAATGACCTGTCCTGAAGCAGCTTCCTCCTCAGGGCAGGGCACTGCAATCAGCACTCCACTGCCCATGCCCAGTGCCAAGGTGCTGGCTGAGAGAGGAGAGACAGCTGTTAGTTGTGTCTGTGTGAGCTGAATAATCCAATCAAACTGTGAAGCACCAAGGCATAGGAGAGAGAGAGAGAGAGAGCGTACGCACGCATAAGTGTGATGGAATGTTCCCTGACATCAAGGATTGAGCCAGTGATCTCCAGAGCTGAAAGCACAAGTCTCTGCCGACTGAGCTAAAGAAGAATCAGGCCTCGTAGCGGGGGGGCTATAACACACACATCCTTTGTGGGTTAGGCACAGCTGGGGACATGTAAATTACAAGAGCCTGTAGGTTGTATGTGTAAAGTCTGATGCGGGGAGGGGAGGTCTGTGTATAAGTCAGGTATATGTGTGAGGAAAGCAGTGATTTGAAGACAACATTTTAAGAAGGTTTCAGAGTAGCAGCTGTGTTAGTCTGTATCTGCAAAAGGAAAAGGAGTACTCGTGGCACCTTAGAGACTAACCAATTTATTTGAGCATGAGCTTTCGTGAGCCACAGCTATAGCTCACGAAAGCTTATGCTCAAACAAATTTTTTAGTCTCTAAGGTGCCACAAGTACTCCTATCTTAAGAAGGGGCTCCCTTGTGGTCTAGACCTGCTTTGAGCAGGGTTAGACGAGTGGGTGGTGGTAACGTCTGTGCTCTGTCTACACTAGTGCTCCCGCTGTTGCTGCCAATGGTTGTCCTGCAGCAGTGGGAGATTTCCCGAAAATGGCTAGTGTAGACATATTGCCTAAGCAGTTCCCCTGCCTGGCAGCTTGTCCTCACAGTGGCAGTGCTGGCAGGCAAGATTTCCTGTGGCCTTGATTGTGGGATGGTTGAGTGGGTGGGTAGCAGGTCCCTGCTGGCGGTGGGCTGGGTAGTCAGTTGGGGAATAAGTTCCTTCTGGTTTTTAAGGTGGGCAGGTCTCCCCTGGCCACTGGAGGTCCCTCCTAGCTGGTTTGTATGTAAGCAAGACGGTCTCCCCGATATGGTGAAGTATGAGGATGAGTGGGAGAACATGGCTCCACACTCGCACCTCATACCAGCTCTTCTGACTTCAGGCTGGGACTGGGCAGACACACAGTCTCTGGCCAGAATAATAGGTTGCTGTGGCCACAGGACTCCCATATAGTGCTGTAGCAGCTTGGCCCTGTCTCCTCATCCACTGTCAGGGATGGTCTAGAAAATGCGTGGTCCTGTCTTGAGTGCAGGGACTAGATGATCTCTTGAGATCCCTTCCAATCCTACGATCCTATGATTCTATGACTGCTGGTGGAAGTTTGGAGGGGCTGCAGGGACCGTGTGGGGTCTCCCCAGTGACAGGGAACATAAGGAAGGAATTCCCTTTGCAGTAGCTGCAGTGATCGCAGCAATAGTGGTTGAATTCAGAGAGGGCTGAAGATTTTAACAAGCAGAGCCAGCTTCATGCTCCTGGGCAGATTGCAAAACAATTTCTTGTCCCCTTATATGTAACCAGTTTCTTTCCAAAATTATACCATGCACAGGGCTACACTGAGGATTTTGGGGGAGAGTTAGAGAGATGATTCTTCAGGATATACCCAAACTAAACTCCAGAGCTGTGCTGAACCCAGATTTTTCATTCCAGGGGGAGTTTCACGATTTCAAAATTGTTTCATTCCAGAAGGGATTGAAAACAAAAAACATTCCCTACAAACAAATACTCCAAAAAAGAAAAAGTGTTTTGTTTTGATAAAGTAAAATAGTTTGTTTCTGATTTTGACTTTATGACTTTTTGTTTCAATTTTTTTATTTTCTATTAGACTTCATAAGAGAAAATCAAAAAAATTGAAACAAAAAGTCATTTTGAAACAGCAAATCAGAACATTCTGTTTTGAAAAAATCGAAATGGCATGTTTCAACCTTATTGAAATGTTTTTTTTCTATTTTTGTCTCAAAACTAATTTTCATCAAAGGTGACATGATGCATTTCTGCAAAACGTTTTGCTTTCAGCAAATCAATGGGAAAACATTCCATCGGAAAATTTCCAGAGCCTGCTCTAGAAGTGAAGACCGTGTGTGTGTGTGGTGGGGGGAAAATCTGTTTGTCTTCCCAACCTGCTCCAGAAGTAGAGACCAGCTGCATAGTCCCTTCAGCCCTACCAATCAATTTGCACCAGCTTATGTTTTCAAGTCCATCTTTGCAATGAAAAGGGACAGAGACTTTTTTTTTTTTTTTTGGTAGGGAAAGCTGTGATTCTTCTTCCTGAGGTCCAGAGGCCAGCTTTGTTAACAAGGGGCTCACCTGAAACCCCTCCAGATCCTCAGAGCAGGCAAACTGCATGTATGTGAGAGTGCTAGGGTGTGTGTAAATAATTCTATGCAACTCAGAGCATAGGTGCTGAAACTGGGGCTGCTGGGGGTGCTGCTTCACCCCCTGGCTTGAAGTGGTTTCCATCATACACAGGGTTTACAGTTTACTTCAGTGGGTCTCAGCACCCCCACTATACCAGTTGTTCCAGCACCCTTGACTCAGGGCATATGTAACTTCTGCTTAGTTGGTTCCATCTAAAGGCTGAGGCTTTTTTTTCTGGCTGCTTCCAAAGCAAGGGGACAGGAAAGCTGTTCTTCCGGACAGCCTCCTCGCCAGGTGAAATTAACACAGAAAATAAATCGTTAAGACAGAGCAATTTGTATGAACCTCTGCCTTCTGATCCAAATCTGAACTTCACAGCTTGGGCCTTTCACCACTGCAAACTCACCAATAAGTTTGGCAGCCTCCTCCTCATTCTGCACCTGACACGGTGCTTGGAAACCACTCTGGCGGGAGAAGAAGGCAGGGAATTCCCTTGATTCCCCAAAGGCAGCCACGCAGACACCCTGAGTCTCCTACAACAGTGAAGATGAGATGAACAAATAATCAGCAGATGGAATGAAGAGCCACCAACAGTGGCTACTTTCCCACCTACCCAGCTAAGAATTGCTACACTGTAGAATAGAATTTGGTTAGTTTTACACATCCTCTTTTCTAGTCTAGATATTGCACAGTAATTTTCAAAGCAAAGAGTCAGATACGTAACTGTGGAGGAAAATGCAGTGGCCTTAGAACCTGGCTTGGTGAGACAATGTTGGCAAGAACTGTGGGGCTATTGGGGATTGACTGGTTCTCTGCCTTCATTTTCAGCAGCCCACACAACAACTTGTGCTACCTACCAGGTATTCCAGCGTCCTACCAATGTCCAGAATAGACTTAACACCTGCGGAAACCACAGCAACTGCAGTGCGTCCTAGCTCGGTCAGGTCAGCACTCACATCCATAGCTGTTAAGGGACAAGTAGCCTTTGTGTTAGTGAGAGTTGCATTCCTAATCGTCATGCTCTCCTCCCTTGCTGGGGAGATGGAAGTGAAGAAGAATGTTGTGTCCAATTAAAATTGCAGTGCAAATTTTACATAAGAGGAATATAATTCTCTAAATTTGGACATTGGCCAGAACACGATGAGTGATACCCCTTCACTTGCAAAATGTGCTGTGGGATCTTTCTTGACCGTAAGGGATCATGGTCTTGGTTTTACATCTCATCCGAAAGGCAGCACTTTCAAACTGTGCTGGAGCACTTGGTTTAGTATTGACTCAGAAGGGAGAATGCCACTAAAAAGTCATATTCCTACAGCATCCTAGGTTGTCCTTTATGGGTCACCCATCCTAAGCACTGACCAGGGCCCAATCCTGCTTGCTTGCAAGAGAGTCTCACCTGAGTACAGAGAGCGAAGCATATTTATCAGTATCCCCAATAACTTCAGCTTCCCTGATAGTCTGTATCAGCATAGCTTGCTACTACAAAGGGTGCAGCCAGCTCTCATTGGACTGAATTACTGGCTAGCAAGCAACATCAAATGGTATACACACCATTCTGTGGATGGGAGAAAGGTCAAGAGAAGCTCCCATCTCCCTTGGGAAATATAGGTGTTCCAGAGGAAGAAGTTGAGCCTTGTGGAGAGAAAGAATTGGAAAGAAAGGCAGGTGAAATATCAGAGGCCCTGACGACACTCATTCTGAAACCATGCTAGCATCAACTATGTGTCTACAGGCACGTTCCTGGTAGGGTTCTTGTAAGATTTCCCTGACCAGTGTAGTCAGGGATATTTTTCTGAGAAGTGTGCAAATTAAACTTTGTGCTATAGATACCAAGCATAGTGTGGTCAGAGCCTTAGTGTAGATTTATCCCCATCTTTGGAATGAGGCAGGGGGTGATTGTTCTACTCTTCCCAGCAGGAGAATACTGTGGGCCTATACAGACTAATCAGGAAAGAGAAAAAAGGTGGACGTAAACAATGAAACTTTAACATTAATTCAACAACAAAGAGACAATATGAAGTGCAATGCTCCTCTTACTCTTCTCTCCTTCGCGGTGGACCCCTCCAATTCCTCCTGTCACAAACACGGGGATTCCTGCTTTGTGTGCCACAATCATCGTCCCTGACACAGTGGTACCGCCAGACAAACCCTGTCATGGAACAGCCAGTCATAATCCACACACTATGTGACCAGGGGAACTGTATGTTCATGGACGAACTACCAGCAGTTGCAAAACATTCTGCTGTGCCCAGTTTGCGGGTAACAGAGTACTGCTACAGTATTCTTTTTAACAAACCCTCAGGGAAAACCAAGAACATTCATTTGCAGTAATAAACAATAAGGCCATATTCAGAGATGCTGAGTAAGGTGGAATACCTTAAATTCTCTTACGCAGCCTGACTCCTCAGGGCACTCAAATAGTACAGGGGGTGGGTGTGTGCAGTGTAAGGACTGGGATGGAAAAGTAAGTGCTGAGGAAACTTATTTTGATGTAACTGACACACTGCAGAGTGTCTTTAACTTCCACATTCTTGCACCTTGATGGTTGTTGCTTTTCTTGCTATAGGGGACACTAACAGGTAAGCTTGTGCTCTGGATAGCAGTAGTGATTACCTGGTTAATAAAAAGGTTAATGAGGCATGATTCTTACAAGAAAAGGAATGATTGTGACTGGTATGAGATAAGCACTGTTAGATATTGCTGTTGAGATATGGAGTAATGAAATGATGTGGCTCGCAAAGGGTAGCATTACGTGGATGCTGTTGCCAGAGGTATCAGGCCAAATGGAATCAGTGGGGCTGTGCCCATTCACACCAGCAGAGAATTTGATCCATCATTTCTCTGTCAGCCATCCTTTCTTGTCAGTGTTGCTATTCATGGGTACAATGGTCTCTAGATATTCATGCAGGCAGGTGCATTGATGTTGGGCTCCAGAGGTCAGCAGTAGACACATGAGCCATAATAACACCAGGAAGAGAAAGGAGAATCTCTCATCATAAATGGAGATGAAGTCTCTTTAGTCTTCCTGTATAGACTATTCAGATAGAGCATCTGTGTCACAAATCTTTGTCCAAGCTATTTGGAGGGAAGACAAGCAAGAAGCCCCAAATTCATGAGGTTATACTGTAAATATTTGTTTAAAAAAATCTTATTAATGGCTGGTCACCAAGCTGAATCCAGTCCAGACAAATAACAACCTAAAGTCATTGCTGTCTTATTGCTGTTCATTGGCCTATGCAAAATGAGCAGATGGTCTCAGTCTGATTCCTACTGGACAATCATCCACATCATAAAAAAACAAAACAAAAAACCCACCATAATAATTGGCACCCTTGTTAACAGTCCCAGCAGAGGGGGCAAAGAATGAACTCCCCTTCATTCCTGGAAGTGTTCCCATGATCCCAGGATTAAGGCATGTTGGCAAGTCTTGTACTGCTGCCAATTTTGCAATGCGCGCTTTGCTGATAAACAGAAGATTTCAGGCACCGGGGTTTCAAACTGGCAATTCTCCTGAGCAGTTGAAGTCACTTCAACAGTTGTGTGCGTGTTTAAAGTGTATGGCCTATCATTGTAGTTGCATTGACCATCATTTGCAGCACACCAGTGCTTTTTCACTATAGTGTGCATACTCTAAGCCAAGCCTCACTTTTCATGCTGTGAGCCAGCAAAGAATGATTTCCTTGGGGAAATGGCTATTGAATTGTGGTTTCCTAGCTCTACTAGTGTGGAACCTAGTTAAGAACATGTTTTGTGAATATGTCATCTTAACAATAGAAAATTGTATATGACATCTCCACTACACTGAGAAGTACTTTTCCCACCTGGCTTTAGGCTAGGGCAGCATAACATTGCTATAAAGAAAACTTGATGACAATGAATATCTACATACAGTACCTGGCTGAGAACGTAGGGAAGGTCCCTCCGAGATACCTTAACTAAATTTTTGCTCTTTGCCAGAAACTGAAGTTCCTCATCATTAAGGCCGATGTGGATCCTGCCATTTAAAATGCCCACGGTTGCAGGTACTGACCCATTTGTCCTTACAATCTCTTCCACCTCTCTAGCCATGCTGGAATAATACAAACAGAGCAACAAAAAATAAAACAGAAAAGTGAACAGGTGGGAAATATCTTCAGATCTCTTTGCCACCATGTTCCAGTTGCTACTTTATAGCATTCCCTCAACTTCTGCTAAATGGGGGTCCCCTCCTGCACCTAACAACTAACAGAAGTCTTTGGATCTCATTGCCAGAGTGCAGATCTTCCCCCGGCTCCCATTGCCAATGCTCAGTAGCTCTGAAAATCGGGCCCTTCATATGTTTAGTTTCCAGTGGGTGTCTGAAGGTTTGACCTGCCTGTCTGTGTTGCATAGATTAGAGATATGATTTGTGGTGGAGGTTTTTAATTATAGTCTTCCCTCCCTAATATGCAGCCATGTCTATTCTGTGGCCAGTGAGCAAAAAAGTGCTGTATGTCCCAAGTCACTTATCAGTTCTGACTTCATCCTAAAGGGTAAACCAGGGCAGGTGTGGGTGGAAGAGACTGAGAACTCTTCCTAAACTGTGCCATAGATTATTTGTTTAAAAGTGGCTTTCCACATGGCAGAGCAAACAGGTGTGGATGGGATTTGTTTCCATTAACTTGATTTACTGTACCCTGCCAGCTTTTCTCTCCACCAAACAGCTGAATGTGAATATCATGGAGAAATGAAGGGCAATGATTTGGTATGTTAAGGAAGCAATTACAGATAATCTGGTATGTGTTTATATTAGGTACCTCCATGTCTGCCATGTTTTGTAAGACCTGAAGATGTAGAGGCCAAGTGCTGTCAGCTCCCTGAAAAGTGAGGGTATTTAGTGTAAATGATCCTCCTGAAGGATGGGATTGCTTTTTATAAAACATTTTGTATCAACTGGCTAATGAGTCACAGCTCATTCACCTTTACTGGATAGTCACCTATTCCAAGTCTTCATTAAACACTCAAATTCCTGCTCTCATACTGCTGATTTTAGATGTGGACAGTGAGAGGCGTGGGATACTAAAGCGCTGCAAGCTGGGGATTCGTCATCTTTGCAGGCTTTTTATTTACTGATTTGTGAGACTACTTCATTTTTTGTTGAGCAGAATGCAGATTTGGCAGGTCCTTCTGCCCCGCGGCTTCTGTACCTGCCCTAAACAGCCTCAAGCTGTCTTCTCACAAAACCAGAACTCACTGCATTCTGATCTCTAAGAAACAGCACCAGAGAAAAATAATGGCTGTGTAAGAAAGAAATAGAAAATTCAGTACAGTAACCTTCCTGTGCCGTGGCTCAGTAGCTAAGCAAAAGTATGGGAGATTGCTTACATTTTTGGCAGTGCCACTCAGGGGAATACTGATATAGAGGGTACCCACAAGTAAAGGGTTGGTTGCAGAGATGGGGTTCCTTGGCACAGTGCTGTCTTAGCATAGGCCAGCAAGAGAGTCCAGCAGAACATTGTAGTGGCATTTACAGTCAATGTTCTTACGGGTACAGATGAGCAGAGGTCATCACTGTATTCTAGTAACTTTTACATTATAAAAGATGTAGCCAAAGAAACTTATGAGTACTTGCAAGGTCTCCACAAGCCATCCAGCCACAAATGCCAGAGATCTCTATCCAGACAAGGGAATGTCATCATTTGCTGCCACTTTGTGAAGAAGGCCAGGGATTTGATGCTACAGATGGATATGTATAGTACATGTAAATCTGGGGTTTGTCATGTAGTTCTGCTATCTTTGGAAGCCCAGATGCAACTGTTTTGTAACTGAGGTCATATTCTGCATGCGTGTCACACCCTCAGTTCCCACTAATTGTAGTGGCAGCTTTGGGTGTACCACAAATACAGAAACAGGCCCATAGATTATCAGACACAACCGTACAGTTTTGCTGCACTAGGGTCATCAAATCATCAAATCTACAACCTCAAATTCTGGGGATAGGGCATGCCATGTGTAATGATGGTGCTCTCCAAGGCTACGATCGGTCTGCCATCAGCCAGAGCTTCCGCCACAGAAGATGAAACCCTGAAATGAGTTCCTAGGAATAAAATATAGGAAAATCATTTATATTTTAAGGCGGCAATAGACTTCTTGATTTATCAAACTGATATACATTAGGCAGTGTGGGAATAACTATTCAGGGAGTTGGAGGATCACACTAGGATGAGCACACAACCTAATTTTTATGGGACAGTCCCAATTTTTGTGGATCTGTCCTGTGTCCTGCAAAGCCATTGCAAGAAGCAAAGCCTCCTGAAATGATTAAATCATTTGGGTAAGAAAAAAAAACGTTTATGCTTTGCAGCGTAGTTTCGTCCCATAATCAGAGTGTTTTTCTCTTCCTGCAGAATGATATGGGAAAGGTGGGAACACACCAGCATTTGGAATCCTGAACGCTCTGCCTCTCTTGAATATACCAAAAGCCCAACAAAATCACAAAGGGCTGAAAAGAGAGTTTTATTCCATATTTCCAATGGCATCAGATTGTAAAAAGAGCAAATGTAGAATTGTTTTGCATATGGTAAATTCAGTATGGAATTTACAGGATTTTTTTAAAGATAAATGGTTTAAAAAAATTATTCAGACTTTTCAAGTAAATATACTACTTAGTGCCACAAACCAGAAAAGAATTAATCATTTTGAGACCAATTTTAGGGGAAATTTTGAGAAGAGAATGCTGTGAATTTATTCTATATCAGCTCAGCACCTACAGCGCTCACCAAAGGCAGGAATTCAGATAGCCCAAGTTTAGATCTATGCCCAAGGTGTCATCAGATTTAGACAAACAATTTTATTAGGAGTAATGTAGAGCTTGAAGAGTGATTAGGATCCTTTTAACCCTAGTATTATTGTTTTTTGTATTGCACTAGCATCGAAGGGTCCCAGTCACGCCTCTCCTGAAATCTGAACTGTGAAGTCAATTGCCAATCAATTTCATATTGAACATTATGGGCCTCATTATCCTCTCCCTCCAATTTTACAGCTGTGTAACTCCAGGGACTTCAAGGAGCTAATCCCAATTTACACTGGTGTAAGTGGGAGGAGAACTGGGCTTTGCAAGTCTGCTGTGATTTGAGAAGGGTGTGCACATTAAAAGAGTGGAGCTGTCAGTGCTAAAAATATCACCACAGCCAAGATATTACAGTATCATGCACCGAAGTTCCCTTGCCCATATATTTTCCTATAAATGCCATAAAACAGAAGCTCTCTGTGAAATGAGTTTTAAAAGGCCTCGGGCTACCTTGGGTAAGCTGCCTCAACATTGTTCCCAGACGCTGCCAGTTCAGGATCCCGGCTGCATTCCGATCACAGGGACTTTTTCAGAGGACACTACTCACCATGCAGGAATCTTCTCATCTGAATGATTCTAGGAGCCACAGAAGCTGTTTGTCTTCCCAAGGTACAGGCCAGATTTCCAATCATGCTGTGTGGAGGGATGGCACTGTCAGGAGAGCAATGTCATGTCAAATGAAAGTAGTATAGAAGGCAGTGTTTCCCAAACTGCTTGTTAATCATGAACTGCAGCCTGACTCCCTGTGACCTCCAGACTGAGAAACCAAGTTGTATGTGTTGTAGAGGATGGCCTAACAGACAAAAAAATCCTAGGTATAGATGAACTGGGGTTTTGGGTGCCTTAAACAAAGTGGTAAGCAGTATGGTAAAATGTGCAAAGAAAGAAACCTGCAGACAAAGAGAAAGCCAGATGGCAGATAGTAAATATGGAGAGACAGACTAGCTTCCCCAGAAACCAGAGGTCTGACTAATCTCTTACTTTATGTAATCATTACGTACAAAGGTACAAAGAGCTGGAAATGGGGAGTTTCAATTCAACTCCAGCAATAGCTCCTTCAATCCTTCTCCAGAAGCTATTCTTTTCTCTGAACAACTTCTGTTAATGTCTGTGAAACTATTCCTGGGAGTCAGGAAGTCTTCCTGTGTGACCCAGGGCAAGTCTCTTAACCCTCTGGGTCTCAGTTTTCCAGCTGTGAAATGGTATAATACTTCCTTTGTCTGTCTTGTCCAGTTAGGCTATACATTCTTTAGGACAGGAAGTGTCTTTTTACTATGGGTTCATGCAGTGCCTAGCACAGTGAGGCCCTGTTCTCAGTTGGGACCTCTAGGCACTACTATAATAGAAATAATTAATAATAATTAGTATTTACACATTCAATGATTTTTTCTAGAATCTCAGAAATCCACCTGTAAGGGAGGGGTGGGTCTGTTTGATACAAAGAGGGGGAATAGTTCTTATAGACATCCTCTCTCAAGCCACCAAACAGCAGTTACCAAGAGAGATGAGACACTACTGACCTAAACAGTGGGCCAAACCCAGGTGTCCATACTCCTTTTTTAACCTGTCCTTACTAAAACAAAACCCCCATTTCATTAAATGTTTGGAATCAGATATGATCCATAGGTAGCAAAATCCCCCTTCTGTATATGTGCTCTTTATTAGATCTGTGCTAAACTCCAACAGTTTGGGCTCCCCAAGGGTTTGCACAAACTTTCTAGTTTTAGTTGTGTGAGCCTGCCACCCACAGGCCAAATTCAGCCCTCGTGTAACTCCTTTGAAGATAGTTTGGTTGATATTGGGTCACTCGAGTTTCATGCTGAGTTTCCAGTTTTAAACAAACCCACAAACCGAATGTGAAACATCAGCTGAAATTGCCAAGTTGCACCTGTTTGTGGATCAAAACCAACTTGTTTCCACCCAAAACCCTACATTACCTCCAGTTTACTAGAAACTACTCAGCCAACATTCACTAAATATTCAGCCTAGGTTTCTGAGAGGTTTTTGAAACTTGGCAGATATTTTCGCAAACCCTGCCTGACCTTTTGGTTTATGACAAAAGATATGGAGTTTCATTCCAAAAGTTTCACACAGTTCTAGTTCAAACTAGTTTTTTTCCAAGTAACCTTCCCCCACACCCTCCAAGCCAGAAGCCCTTTATTACGCACCATCAGCATTTGATTTTGTTAAGTGGTGGACTGGTATATTATCAGTCTCTTACCTCTGGGTTTCTGTCTGACATACATGGGCTGCTGTCTGCACTGAATTTTCACTCGAGCAGCTCTGCAGGGAGGTGGGACTTGCAGCAGAATTGGCTTGAGCTGTTCTACATTCCAGCCACATGAACATGTCTATCTATCATTAACAGCATAAGCAGCTGGGGCTGGTCCCTGCGTAGGGGATAGGAGAGGATTTTACAACTGGATGGGGATTTCTTTTGCTAACTCGGTGCCAAATATTTTTCCCTATTTTCACATTACTTTTTTCCCCACTTTTCATGTTCCTTTGTTCTTTGTACTAGGTTTTAAACATGAACTTAGTGCTGGTGAAAGCCACTAAAGAGAGATCCCTGGAGATTTAAGTTCTACTTCTTTGATCCACAGACAGCAAAGAAAGTAGCAGTACAAGCTTCCTTTACAGCCCTGCCAACATGGGAGGTGTTAAACCCACCTTTGGAGGAGCGCAGGTAGTTCACTCTAAATGCCCATTCAGTCCTTGGAGGCTCTGCAAGGAATGCCGCTGGATTTAGTGCCAGGTTTGGTCATGCTTTTTCTGACGTGGATACCTGTCCCCTGGGACATTTACGGAGAACACAAGCTCATTTCACAAAGGCCACTGGATAGCTCTCAAACTATAATTACTTTCAGACGCTACTGATCTGAGCTGGACTCAGACTTGGACCTAGAAATGAAATGGTCTTTATCCCCTTTCCAAAAAAAAGCTTACATGTAGCTGTCTAAAACACAGTGTTTGCTTAGATGAATCAAATAAAAACCTCTAGAAAGAACTAAACAATTAAAATAAACAGTATGTCATATTTTCAAGAGATTATATCAAATTTAAGGTCAGGGTGGATCTCATAACTTCTACAAATGACTCCGGGTGACCTCTGAGTCGATCAGCAGTATGTCTTTATATGCATCCTTTCTTCCCTTAATCCATTCTGACGCTGAAGGTGCAGATTTTTTTTCTTCCATCTCCTTTGTCTTGCTAAAGACAAAAGGCATAGTTAATGGTAGTCCCAGTGTCGCTGGCCACCCGTTGCATTTTCACACTGATAGTTCATCCATTTAATGTTGGTTTTTGTGTTAAGATTGTTTAAACCCACTCAAAAGAAGCTGAAAACTTTAAAATTCAGTGGGAATTTAAAATTCTGTCATAAGCAGGTGTAGCTCCCATTCATTTCAAGTGGAGTTGAACCCACTTACACTAGGAATTAGTTTGCCACACATATCTTACAGCCTGGGGCCCTGATCCTACCCTGAGCTCTGTGTGGGTGAGCACTTGCAGGGAGCCCCACTGAAATCAACTGGGATCTGTACAGTCAGAGGGGTCCACCCATGTAGTGCTCAGTAAATTTCAAGTTAAACTTCCACTTTATAAAACAAGCAAACAAACAAAATCGAAACCTTTGGGAGGATACAAATATACAGTCACCCACACAAATTCTGCCCTACTGTACCTTCCTGAGAACAAGTGACTCTAAGTCAATCTTACTCATCTATATCACAGGTTCCTCTTATTAGTGACCACCGAAAGGACCTTAACAGAGTCCCATATGATCAATGATCCAATCCCGAGCTATTAGGGTGGAGGAGGTTCTACACAAGCTGCCTTATCTTTTTCTTCTGTGTACTTTTTTCTGAGGGGGATGCTAGTGTGCAACCTAGGGTAAAACATATGTTACTATCCATTACTTTTGTTGGCAATCCTTTTATCTGACATGAATTATGATCTCATGGGATCCAGTACAGCCACAATCTTTCTGTGCAACTTCCATGCGTAACACAAAAGTAACTAAAGTAATCAGTAACCTATTATTTCTATACCAGAGTAATCAGTAATATGTAACTGATTCCACTGAAACCTAGTAATCAGTAAATCTAGAAGATTATTTTGGAAAGTAACGTTTATGCCTTGCAGTTACCCTTTCCAAATTGACCTTTCTACAGTTTTGCTAAGCACAGCATTAATTATAGCAGTAGTGTTTCCTTCTCCCTCCACTGTTTCAATAAAACACCTCAAGAAAACTGCATGCAAAGCATGCAAAAAATATGTACACAATCCAATTCTGACTTGTACACACTGCAAGGGAATTTATCTGCAGGGAAAGATAAGGGAAAGGTGCCCACAAATATAGTAAGTGGGGCTTTGCACATTTCTGGAATTAATGTCATCTTTTGTGGGGGGGGGGGTATACATAGTACAAATGCTTTATTTTATTTTATTTTCAGGAAGGTCTTCTGGGAAACACTGCAGTACTGAAGAAACTTATCTGGGATATCACTTTATTTTTTAGAGACACCAGGTGGAGGTCATATCTTTTATTGGACCAACTTTTGTTGGGGAAAGAGACACACATTCAAGCTTACACAGAGCTCTTCTTCAGGTCTGGGAAAGGTACTCAAAGTGTCACAGCCAAAATCTTTGCAGGCTACCATACAAATCAATTTGGTAATCAAGCTGCATACCCAGTTGTTGACCCCTGTTTTAGTAAATTGACACTTTTAGCCAAGGATAGCCCAGGCCGTTCTCATTCAGTGTGACCTCAGCATGCAGTTCACCATATCAGGAAATCCAAGTGTAACAGTTCTGAAGAAAATGCAGCCTTCGGTGTATGTTTTCTTCTGTTATTTTTCTCCCCAAACCAAATGAAAACCATTCTCTCTGTGGGTGTCAGGATTGCAGCTCAACTCTGCAACTTAGCCATGTAGAGCACAGGTGTCACTATACTACCCTGGTCATGTGCTGGTAACCTTACACTTCTTGTAACCTTACACCCAAGATATCTGGAGTACATATTTTAGGTTTGCCATAACGAACATATGAACTTTCGTGAGCAATACACCAAGACCAGTTCTTCCCTCAGTTCAGTTTAAACCCATTAGGCTCCATAATCAGTGAAAGAGAATAAATGACTTTGATACTGAATACTCCCCCATATAAGAGGCAGACTGGCAGCAATGTTCTAGAGAGAACAGAAGCTTCTGGAATGGGGAATACAGTGAGTAATGTCAGAAGGACCAGAGATAGGGGCAGGAGTGGTGTGGGGAGTCCAAAATACGGTCACAGCTGGAGTCAGTCAAAGAGAGGAAAACTCACCGTCAGTTGGGAGCCAGCAGATCAGACTCTAAACCAGGGGTGGGCAAACTTTTTGGCCCGAGGGCCACATCCGGGTTGCGAAACTGTATGGGGGGCTGGGTAGGGAAGCCTGTGCCTCCCCAGCCTGGCCCCCACCCGCTATCCGCCCCCTCCCACTTCCAGCTCGCAGCCACGCCACCGCGCTGTCCGGCAGGAGCAGTGGGCCAGAGTGCTGGCAGCACGGCGAGGTGAGGCTGTGGGGGAGGGGAGATGGGGGACAGCGGGGCAGGGGCCTGGGGCTAGCGTCCCTGGACGGGAGCTCAGGGGCCAGGTAGGATGGTCCCATGGGCCGGATGTGGCCGGCGGGCTGTAGTTTGCCCACCTCCGCTCTAAACTGAAGTAAGTTGTTTCCCAAAGCCTTAGGGAAAAGGAGTTTGTAGCTAGAACTGGCTGGAAATTTTCTGAGGTGTTTGTTGGAAAATGACAATTCATTGAAACCAAAATGTTTCACAGAAATTAGGGCTGTCAAGTGATTAAAAAAATGAATCGTGATTAATTGCGCGATTAATCGCACTTTTAAACAATAATAGAATGCCATTTATTTAAATATTTGTGGATGTTTTCTACATTTTCAAATATATTGATTTCAATTACAACACAGAATACAAAGTATATAATGCTCACTTAATATTTATTTTTGATTACAAGTATTTGAACTGTAAAAAAACAAAAAAAATAGTATTTTGCAATACCTAATACAAGTACTGCAGTGCAATCTCTTTATCATGAAAGTTGAACTTACAAATGTAGAATTATGTACCAAAAAAAACTGCATTCAAAAATAAAACAATGTACAATTTTAGAGCCTTCAAGTCCATTCAGTCCTACTTCTTGTTCAGCCAATCGCTCAGACCAACAAGTTTGTTTACATTTACAGGAGATAATGCTGCCCACTTCTTGTTTACAGTGTCACCTGAAAGTGAGAACAAGCGTTCTCATGGCACCGTCGTAACTGGTGTCACAACATATTTACGTGCCAGATGTGGTAAAGATTCATATGTCCCTTTATGCTTCAACCACCATTCCAGGGCGCATGTGTCCATGCTGATGACAGGTTCTACTCGATAACAATCCAAAGCAGAGTGTACTGATGCATGTTAATTTTCATTATCTGAGTCAGATGCCACCAGCAGAAGGTTGATTTTCTTTTTTGGTGGTTCGGGTTCTGTAGTTTCCGCATCGGAGTGTTGCTCTTTTAAGATTTCTGAAAGCATGCTCCGCACCCCGGCCTGATCAGATTTTGGAAGGCACTTGAGATTCTTAAATCTTGTGTTGAGTGCTGTAGCTATCTTTAGAAATATCACATTGGTACCTTCTTTGCGTTCTGTCAAATCTGCAGTGAAAGTGTTCTTAAAATGAACCACATGTGCTGGGTCATCATCTGAGACTGCTATAACAGGAAATATATGTCAGAATGCAGGTAAATCAGAGCAGGGAACACACAATTCTCCCCCAACGAGTTCAGTCACAAATTTAATTAATGCATTATTTTTTAAATGAGCATTATCAGCATGGAAGCATGTCCTCTGGAATGGTGGCCAAAGCACAAAGGGGCAAATGAATGTTTAGCATATTTGGCACTTAAATACCTTGCAATGCCTGCTACAGAAGTAGGAGCGTTGCCAGAAGATCAAGGGAAGTGATTATTCCCCTCTATTCAGCACTGGTGAGGCCACATCTGAAGTATTGTGTCCAGTTTTGGGCCCCCCGCTACAGAAAGGATGTGGACAAATTGGAGAGTCCAGCGGAGGGCAACGAAAATGATTAGGGGGCTTGGGCACATGACTCATGAAAAGACGCTGTGGGACCTGGGCTTATTAAATCTGCAGAAGAGAAGAGTGAGGGGGGATTTGATAGCAGCCTTCAACTACCTGAAGTGGGGCGTTCCAGAGAGGATGGAGCTAGGCTGTTCTCAGTGGTGGCAGATGACAGAACAAGGAGCAGTGGTCTCAAGTTGCCATGGGGGAGGTCTAGGTTGGATA